TATATATATACGTAGATATATATATGTACGTAGGTATGTCATTAAATACTTTATTTTATTCTTTTTTGAAGTAACACAAAGCATATTTACGTTGTACATTAATTATTAATTAACAGAAAAACTATTTTAATCTTCCTAATTATTTAGTAGTTTTATTAGTGTGAGTTTAAAATTTTAAATTTCTCTTTGAAAGATATAATTTTAGATACTTTACTTTTTAATACTTCACTAAGGAAGACCATGTTACGATTTTTAATGATTTCATTTATCTGCTCGTTGGATTTACTGAGTGCTCATCCTATGGAGGAACCGACAAAATTCACTGTTGGCATACAAAATAATACCGAAAACACTGTACCCTCAAAACTGGACATTACAGAGGTAAAATTTTTTGCTTATAAAATTCATGAAAATAAATAAAAATTCAATTCTTGGAAAATGCTAGTCAAAAAAATAATTATTAGATCGTCCTTTCATTGAAAGCAATAAAACAAAAAGTCATAAATCTGAATTGATTTAAAAATCTACATAAGAAATTCCTTAGCCGTACTCAAAATTCTAATTAGATTCTCGTAATTCGCCATTGTAATCGGTAGGCGAAGTCAAAATTGCTATTTCGTAGGAATTATTAGAACGTGTCAGCGATGCTATTAGAATTGGCAGAGGAAGGTTTGTCAGTTTGATAATATTGGCTAGAAACATCATTATCAATCGAGCAGAGGTAATTACTGTAGCATTTATACAACGACAATTTATTTCTGATAACATGATATTCGCGGAGACCCAATTAATGTAATCTCCATTGGAATTTATAGAAAGTCACCGTGTGTTCGATTAAGTGTATAATTAAGTTCCCGCTGTTAAAAATTAAAATTTTTTTATTAACGTAAAAGGAACAATACAATTGTTAATAAAAATATTTTATGTTTACATCTACTATCTTTTGCCATCTTTCAAGCAGCATACAAATGCCGTGGTGAAAGAATGTCTCGTCTCTTGACGCAATGAAGTCGTCGACCCATTTTATACCATCTGCTTCATTTTGAAAGTACGTTTTGGAGACACTGTGTTGTATCGATCGCAATAAATAATAATCAGACGGCGCAATGTCTGGAGAATACGCAAGATGGAAAGATTTCCCATTCAAGATTATCCAGCGCTTGTTTGATTTTATGAACAATATGAAGCCTTGCATTGTCATGGAGCAAATTGATTATGTTATTTTGAAACAACTTTCGCTTCTTTTGAATTTCTTGACTCAATCCTTAACTGATTTTAATCAGGTTTTTAGATAATTATGCAGAGTAGAACCTTTTCCAAATTTTTCGACTGCAATGTTGATCTTTGTTATGACTCAAATAATAATAACAAGGGGGAGATCGAAAAATAAAAAAAATAATTTTCTTTGAAAATGTTATATATAGTAGTGCAAAGCGACTTTTCACGTAAAGCGACTCCCACCTCCCCCTCTGCTTAAGGGCGCATGACTTTAGAATGTCAACATTATTATTCAATATATGAATAGAAGTAAATATATGTATATATATTTTTCGACCTCTTCCTATTTTTTATCATTTTTTATCATTTGAATCATAAAAAAGATTGTTATTAACATTGCCACCGAAAAATGTTAAAATTAGGAAAATGTCTTATTCTGCATAATTATCGTTTTTTTGAAAGTTTGAGTCAAGTAATTAAAAAAAAAACGAACTACAATGCTTTAAAACGACAAAGATCCGCAACAATGCGAGGCCTCATGTTACTCATAAAGTCAAACATTGTATCATCTTAAATAACAAATCATTTTCCACTCATACTCTCCAGACATTGGGCCGTATGACTATCACTTATTCCGATTGATGCAGCACACCGTCTTCAAAATCCTTAAGCAGATTAATAAAACAGATATTAATAAGAAATGAGTCGACAAATTCATCGCATCGAAAGATAAAACATTCTTTCGCGGTATTCGTATGTTGCCTGAAAAATGGCAAAAAATGATAAATGCAAACGGTAAATGTTTTTATTAAAATCATTGTATTCTCAAGTAGAACAAAAATGTTGAAAATAATATTGAAAAAAACGTTTTCCCATAACGTTGAATAACGGTTACAAGTAAACTTGTAACTCTTTTAATATATTATAAGTGTAAGAAACGTTAGGAATAATGGATTAATTATAAACATTTATGAAACCAGTATAAAAATTATTATAAAATTTAGTTTTTTTTTATTGTAAAAGAATTATTTTAAAATTATTTATTTACAAGTTTAGCTAATTTTACAACATCTATAGCTATTTTTATAATAGATCCCGGACGTTCGTTCACTGAAAAAAATGCTTGTAATTTTATATATAAGAGTATATGATTACAAGTATATGTAAAATTATCTAAATATCACTGGAAATTTTCTGGAAAAAGCCGGCATGGTCTTTTCTTTCAGGTGGTTTCTCTCTTAGCATATTCGATTTACTGACTTGACCCGACTCCGAATCAACGGACTGTTCTTTTTAGCAGCATTTCTTGAACAATTTATAATTTAACTCTTCTTTTATAGCTAAACAGAACAATAAACATTGATTCAGAATCAAATCGAATCAATAAATCGAATACGCTAACTAACCTCTCACAGTACATAAACAGCTAGTGAAGGGGCGATTAGAAGAGCAATGATTGATCTCTCTCAAAAAGACAAATATTATAATTAGAGCGCGTAGCTGCAAATACAGGGTATATATTAAAAGATCACTATTTTATTTAAACATATTTTTGTCGTACAATTTTTCAAGCTTGTCGATTTGCTACAATGCCTGGCTATGTAGCAGATTATTGTACAAACTCCGATTTTGCCTCATTCGCACTCTGTCGTACTAGCTCTTACTTAAGATACTTTAAAGCCGCTGTACAGAGTGCTCCACGTAAATCGAACATCTCGAATATTTCACTTATTTTTGATATAAAAATATGTTTCAAATAAAAGTGGAAAAAACGGTTTGGGAACATATTTTGGTCACGTTGTTTATTTTCTAGGTGGAGATTCCAATTTATCATATGTACAATAAAAACGCACAAATGAAACAGCCATAGAGTACCTCAAGTAAAAGCTAATACGACAAAGCGCGAATGAAGCAAAATTGAAAATAGTTGATTGATGACAATTCATTCACATCTTCATTTTATTAAAATGTGATATATAATTCCAATGCGATCCTTCATCACTCATTTATTCTTATTATTTATATTTAAAAAAACGATTTTAGAACGTTTGTACAATATGATTATTTAACCGGTTCCTAAAAAAACGTTTTTATATAAAATATATTATAAAATAATTTTAAATAGTTAATTTTAAACAAAAATAATCATTCCTAAATACTTTATAAAGTTGTTCAATTTGGGTTGTTTCTTAAATATATTAATAAAAGAATTTTGATAATTAACGGCAAGAACTTAGTTATATATTTAATTTCTTTTAGATGATATAATTTTTTTAGATGATATAATTCCTCTAATTATTATTTTGCATATAAAAATATTAATTAGAGATATTTAAAAAACCAATAGTTTACGAGAAAACACAGTTGTTAAAAATTTATGCAATTTACGATGTGCAACATATGTTTTTAAATATCAAAGAAATTAAATATCAAAAAAAATATGTCTTTTTTCATACCAACTGATTCATCTTATTATTTTGTGCATAAAGATATTAGAGTACAGTTGCCAAAAAATTAATAGTTTACGAAATATTTTATGTTTTATCAGAATGTATCAAAATAAAGTATGAAATGTTTCATAAACTATTGGTTTTTTTATATCTCTATCTTAATATTTTTATAAGCAGAATAATTAGTGGAATCATATTATGTAAAAAAATCACATAATTCCATTTAAAAAAGTGGGAGGTGACTTTCTTATCTTTTTGGAACCTCCACTTAGAAAATAAACAATGTGACCAAAATATGTTCCCAAAATATGTTCCTGTTTTTTCCATTTTTATTTGAAACATATTTTTATATAAAAAATAAGTGAAATATTCGAGATGTTCGATTTACGTGGAGCACTCTGTACAGAATTTGTTGTTATTCGTTTTGTATCTTCTTCCTGTTTTCGTTGGCTATTTTATTGGCTTTTATCAATATCTTTTTATTTGTATAATTTTTAACTATTATTGACATACTGACAAATTTTCTTTTTTTACAGCAAATAAATAGTGAATTCCGAAATAGTCTTAATCCATCAATTATTAAATCTGATAAACCTCAAAGTCGCAGATCAATACTACCTATACAAAATACCACTCCAATAGTTTTATTTCAACCAATACCGCAAGAAACAATTCGTTTAGAAAATGAGACCGCCCAAGCTATTTTAGAAAAACGAAAACCTGACAACATTATGCGACTTTTGGATACTTTCTTGACATCAAAGCCACTCGTTGATCGAATTAAGGATGAACAAAAATATGGTAATAGGGGAGATAAATTTAATGGAATCGGAAGGGCTTTCATTAATGGTTACGAGAATTTCAGCAATTTTTTGAATAACTTAATAGAGGTAAGTACATTAAAATATAACTCTAATATACACAATAAATTAAATTAAATTAAACAACAGTAATTCCATTAATACAGTAAATACGATAACTGGACCTTGTCTAAGCTGTGATTTTTTTCTAATTTTTTAATACAAAAAATTAGAAGCTAAATACAAAATTTAAAATTGATGATCAGATTTAAAAGACAATATTTCTAAGCATTAAAAAAATATAAAATATTTTTAAATACTTACATAGGTGCAATAAAGATTATAAGGAAGAGCAGAATTAAAATCATATTAATTATATATTCAATACAGCTTAAATTTTAATATTATGTTTTTCATTTCTTTTTTAAAAATGTTAAAGAAATGAAAAATAAAGTGGTCTAATGTTATTTTTATAATAAATTAAATTAATACAATATAAGGCTCTTCAAGATAAACTTAACGTAAATATAATGATATAATGAAGGGAAGCCAATGTGAACCACCACTTTTTTTTTGTTATTCATGTGTAACAAAATATATATTAAAATTAAAATTAAAATACAGACCTCTTTCAATCCTGGTATTAGATTATCCTCAGTGTATAATATGGTTGATAGAATCAAAAATTACACATTTGTAAGCGCCGGAATCATCAAATCATCGTTATCCTATTTAACTGTCACTACTTAAAATTTTCAATATCGTCTGTTATATTTTATTGAATAAACAAACTGCATGTTTTAAAAATTATCACTAAAATAGAACAGCCTAAAATGAATTAATATAGTCAAATTATAAAATCAAAATCAAAATTAAAAACTTATGTTGGAATCAAATTAACGATGGTCTATTATATTGTGAAATTATAAAGAGATATCTTTATTGAGTGAGAATTCAGATCGAAATGAAAAAGTGAGTCAATGATAACAAAATAAATATATACAAAAATAAGAATATATCCATCGAAATTAAAATCAAGACCTTAAAATATAGAAAATAAAACTTTTAAATGAAACTCTTAATAATGATTGGTTTAAAAATCTATCACGTATAAGTTTTCGGAGAATGTTCAAAGTCTACTACAATTAAGAGAAAATTTTTGTCTCCCTCCCCACTATGTGAAATTGGTTACTTTGGAGTTCATCAAATAGAGAATAATTTCAGAGAATCAAGATTAAAAATCAATAATCCTAATACTTTTAGAAATAGGTTTTTTCCATATTTACAAAATATTACAAATGCAATAGAAAACAGATCGAACATTGATGTATAGATTTTAGAATCTTTAGAAGATACGACAAAACAATTTGTTAAGGAGAATTCACAAATAATGTTACGGACAAAGGAAATATTGTTATCGTTACTACTGGATAAAATAGATTACATTAATAAAATGAAAACTTTATTATCAGATACTGATACTTATACATTCAAGCGTAATCTGATCAATAAGTTTTTTGTTAGATTTAAAGTCTTTGTTAAAAATATGGAAATGTCAAGAATGTGTAACTGATCATATATATAATTTTCTCAATTCTACTAATGCAATAGTATCAAGGGCATGGATTACCAAAAATCCATAAGTTAGGCAATCCTTTACGTATCATTGTATCACTAATAGGAAGCCTTTGTATAATTTTGCAATTTTTTTGCATAGAATTTTGGATACATGTCTTGAAAAATCGATAGGACATGTCAAAAATAACTTTCAATTAGCTAACATGTCTCAGATTCACTTATCTGATGATTCTGAATTCTTGTTTTTCTCGATATTGTTTCTCTTTTTTCTAATGTTCCACTCGATTTAATTATTGAAAGCATTGAAAGTTGTTAGTCAAACATAGAAAACAACATTAATCTACCTAAAATGGAATTTTTTTAAACGATAAGATTAGTGCAATTGTACATTTTTTTGTTTTTAATAATAAGTTAATAATAATAATTTTTATAAATAATCTTTTAGAGTACCCATGAAATCTCCTCTATCCTCTATTACAGCAAATTTAGTGATGCAAGAGTTGGAGAGAGTCTCACTTAGTAAATTAAAATTCACCTTAGATTTTCACTACAGATATGTAGACGATATTGCTCTCTCCATTCCAAAACAGAATTTTGATACATTGCTAAGTATATTTAATGAATTTCATTCTAGATTAAAATTTACAATGGAAGTTGGCGACACACAGTTTCTTAGATTTGACCTTAATAAAAAGAAGAAACAGATTTATGTATAATTGGTATCAACCTATCTTCTCAGCTCAATATTTGAACTTTTTTTCTTGCCATTCTTTATGCCATAAAATAGGCACAATTATTAATTTAATCGATAGGGTAATTCTATTGTCGCAGTTTCCATAAGAAACATTTTGAACTAATCATCAACATATGATTAAGAAATAAATATCCTTTGGTTTTGATCTTTAAGAATATTAAAAAAGGTTATTATTTAAAGCTTCTTAATAATTCTGATCTTTGAATAAAAATATATAAAATAAGTCTAATAATAAAGTGACTTACTTCACCATTCCCTATATATCCCTCCCCCCACCCCCCTCCATATCTGGTCAATTTAAAAAGTTCTTCAAGAATAATCGATTCATACATTTGACTTACACTGGAATTGATAAATTAAGTTATTTTATCAAAATACAGAAGGATAAACTAGCAGCTTGTGATTACACTAACGTAGTATATAAGATCAATCGTCAGAATTGTAACGCATCTTATGTAGGTCAAACGAAACGGTCATTAAAAATGAGAATAAGTGAACATCGTAATCACATCGCAATCTGTTATCACAAAACATAGAATTGAGCATAACCATGAATTTGATTGGAACAAGGTTTAAATTTTGGATGAGAAAAGGAGTTACAAAAAAAATAGGAGATTAATTTCTATCAGTCAATTTTTATCAAAAAACAGAAATTAAATTTACAAAATGATACGGAATTATTGAATCTATATTATGATTTGGTTGCAGAAAATTGACATTTCTGTGTTTTGATTTTAACTTCGATGAACATATTCTTATTTTTGTATTTATTTTTATATTTATTTTGTTATAGTCGGTTCACTTTATTATTTCGGTCTGAACTCTCACACAATAAAGATATCTCTTTATAATTTCGCAATATAACAGACCATCGTTAATCTGATATCTGATCTTCCAACATAAGTTTTAGTGATTTTGATTTTATAATTTGATTATAATTTGATTAATTTATTTTAGACTATTCTATTTTAATGATAATTTCTAAAACATGCAATTTGTTTATTCAGTAATATAACAGACGACATTGAAAATTTTAAGTAGTGATATTTAAATAAATCAATGATTTGATGATTCTGGCGCTTACATATGTATAATTTTTTATTCTACCAATCATATTTTATACACTGAGGATGACCTAATATCAAGGAAATGTCTGTATTTTAATTTTAATTTTAATATATATTTTGTTACGATTAGTGGCTCACATTGGCTTTTCCCCATTACATCATTACATTTACATTGAGATTATTTATATAAGATTATAAATTTATTAACATATTAATGTGTAAAATAATTGACTTATATATATTAGGTGTAGTAAAAAGAAATCCATTATTTTTGCATGAAATTAAATGGAAAAATAATGGATTTCTTTTTACTACATCTAATATATATCTACTTATTTAATAACCTATATTTAATAACCTATATTTACTTAACTCTATGATGTTAGCAGATGAATTAAAATTCATTATTTGAAATAATAAAGGTAACAAAAAGAAACATTATTATCAATATGTGTTTATACATTCAATATACGTAGATATATTAGTTCTACCTTAGAAAAAAATTCCTTCTCTTTGATTATAAATAAAACGTTGTGACGAAAATGTACACTAAGTACATTTTAGATCATATTGGATATTTTAAGCTAGAATAATATAATTAACTTTATTAAAATAAATCTAATTAAAATAAATTTAAAAGGAAAAGAAATCTCTTCAGTAATCTATTTAAATATGCAATACAATAATTTGCAAAAAATTTTATGATTTCAGTTCCCTGTTGATATCGTTAAGCAAACTTCTCGAGGAATAACGCAAATGTTGGATAAATTAGGAGCACGAATCGTCGGACTCGAATAATAA